TATATATATATAATTGATTAGTAATCTTTCGAGCTAAAATGAGCCGAACACAAACGAATAAATATTTGTTCGTGTTGTTCGTGCTCGGCTCGTTAATTTAGCGAATGAGTTGAACACCAGCTGTTCGCGAACGAGCCGTTTTGATAGCCCTAAGTATGAATGAAGAATATAGAAAATAATAAATAAAATAAAAACATTTTTACATGTGTATAACAATTCATCAAAATTTCAAGTTGAAAGTGAAAAGAGGCAACTTGATTTGAACATATATAGCAAGCTGTATGTTGCCAAGATTAACACCTTCAAATGTATACTTTTATAGCATGCATTCTTATAAAGGGCCAAAAGGTATTTATCTTCATATTCTAAATAACACAGCCTAAACTAATTGTCTTCTTATTCAAAAAAAAAAAAAAAAAATCTAGTCACATTAAAATTGGGCTGTCAAAAAAAGTCATTGTTCACATGCAATTTCAAACAGAATTAATTTCAAATGAGCCTAATAAAACCTATTTGAAATTTCGAAGGAGTCAAACACGAGCCAAGCCTAAACTTGCTCATACTCTCATGGTTTACAGCCCTGGGTTAAAAAAAATAGAAAATAATGTTTCTTTCAAAAATAATAAAGTATTTTTCCACTTAAAATATTTCTATTCAGTTCATTCATTTTTAGTTGGAACATAATATAACCATATATGTGTGAGTGTCAATATGCCCTAAAACAGTAAAATTAGAGTTATAACCCGAAGATTCTATTTTGATCAAAATATTTATGTTGATTACAAATAGTGATCCAGGCCCTCATTAAATAATTACATTGCCTTTTTAATTATAAAAACTCATCAATCGTTTGTTTTCATGGCACCTTCTTATATAATGATTTTAGAGTGTGTATGTGGGTGGCTATATCAAAAACAAACTCAAATCCACTCAAGAACACCTCTAAGAACCCTCACAAAAATATTTAAGGGGCTTTTACATATACAGCACACAATTATCATGTATTTACATATCTCATGCCTAAACTTTCATATTTACACACACCACAATCAATGTTTTAATAACACATAAAAAATTAGTACTATCACTACTTTTAAAAGCCAAATACACATTTTCATGCATGCGTTTAAAGCATTAAAGTGCTGTGTGTGAAAATATCAAAGTTTAGGTGCAAGATATGTAAATATATAAGAATTGTGTCCCATAGTTATTTAAATTGATGCTATATAATACTTATTTTTTCATCGTGCGCATCTCTTATTCCATCATTCATCAGGTATATGTGGATTGCCTATTATAGCATTCATTTCATTATTCATGATATGGTTCAAGATGACGTTCTCATTAATCATGATTTATTATGAGTTTTATGCAAGCAAGAACAAATATGAAAGAGCATGCACCATAGTGAAAGTTTGATGGTGAGATTAAGTTTGCACAGTGCTCTCCCACTTGGTCTCATTCTTCTCGAGACCAAGAGCTCTCAAGTTCTTTCTTTTTCCTTGGACTTTTTGAGACCAAGAGCTCTCATGCTTTTCTTCTTCCCAAGGATTTGTAAAATGGTAATAACATATTCCCCTTATCCTAAATAAGGAACATAACATGTCAACAATGATGGTGATCAAGACACATGGTGCATATACAATAGTAGGTCATCAATATTTCTAATGTCTAAGACATGTACCCTTTCAACAATTATCTTTATTCCATCATCTTTGCATTTTATGTGGGTGAATATCAAGTTATGAGAGGACAGAGATATGGCTGCTACATTCACTGAAAGCTTTTATGAACTCCTTCTAGCTAACTTAACCTGTTGGCACCAAAATCAGCCACGCAGTCACTCTACCTACTAATCTTATCGTGTGAAAATAATTCAATTAACTTGTCAATTGCTCTACACCGCGTCTACTCCTTGAGCTTAGAAATTATCCAACCAATAGAACTTAGTCCGCTTGACACAGACTTACTGGTTCATAAATCCGCAAATTGGGTCAGTAATTGAGCCAATAACGTATTAAGCCACTCTTTGGCTCATCTTTCTGGCTCACCCAATACCCTTGAGTTAAATGTTAAGTAAAATCATTTCGAATTTTTACACCAAAAATCCCTACAGAAATTAGGTCTTTCAATACATATAAATAAGTTGAGACTACTCTGAAAAATTTTAATGTGTTCTTATTACACATTTAACATAATAAAAACTGTGAAACTAAATAAACACATCTAAAATTTATTATGAGAAGAAATCCAGTGACCATAATTATCTTATATCAGGATTGGGAGCTATTTTTTGTGTGGATGAGATTAACGGGTGCTAAGGATGACATCGAGGGATTTCAAAAGATGATGCGCTACCTAAAAGAAGAGAGAGATTGAAGTGGATGGTAAAAAAATGATTTTAGATGCGATTAAAATGATGTATAAAGAATTATAGAAGATGAATTAATAATATCAAAGGATAAAATTAATATGAACACTTGATGGAAAAGTAGTAATGAGAAAAAATAACATAAGCAAAAGTTTTGCAGAACTATTTAAAAATATATGTATAATTGATATATCAAGTAACACTCAATAAGAATGAATGGAGAATGTGAATTTCTAAAACCAATACCACATTATTAGATTTTAGAACTAATTATAACAAATGACATCCTTAAAGAAAATACGCATCAAGATAATAGTGAGTGACTAAGAGATGACCAGAGAGAAATGGATTAAAAAAAAACCATGAAATAGGAGGATATCTCAACAACATACTCTTCATTTCATTTCTATAGCTCTATTCTTCCAATAAAAAGTGTAGCACCTACCAATAACTAAGCTACAAGACCTCATCTTATTGCATTTAGAGGACTATGTCTTCCCGTTCTCGTTGTATCTAATCTCTCCGTTTCTTATTGCAAAAAATTAAAAAAAAAGATTCCTCACTTCTTTATTCAGCCCAACCCCTCTTTATTTTTTAGTCTTAAAGTATTCTTACCCTTATGTTGTCCCACACATCTCTCAAACAGCAACAATATGTCAAAATTATAGCCAAGTTCAAATTTGTAGATAAAAATCTCTAGTTCACATGAGAAAATCCAAGCAATTTTGTTACATTCTACACATAAGATCGGCCAATTGAGTCTATAAATATCTTATTTAATTTAAACAATGGATTTCTTTGGATAATCCAATGGAACGCAAACCAACAAAAAAGCAATTTATCCTCTGAGAAAAAACCGTAAGAAATTACAAGCCTTCTATCTCAATTTTCCTCTCTCAAACACCATTCATTGAAGTATGGATCTCATGCCAATTTCTGTTCATTTTGAACTATGAGAAATCATCTACAATTGCCAAAAAATAATTAGTCTCCTCGAATGAGAATATCTAATACATACAAACATGCATGCATGCATGCTATGGATGCATGATGTATGTACAACCCCAGAAATCCCTTACAACTTATGGTCTTCTATTTCACTGTACCCTATGAACAGATATATTTAAGAGAGAGGAGGGAGACGAATTTAGAAGAGTTGGTGGGGGGAGAATTGAGATGATGCCACTAAGTGATGAGAGACAAATGCAAATGAGAGAACGTTTAAAATTAATCTCGTGATGAGAGACAAATGGCAAGATTAATTTCATCAAAGCTTCTGATTTTCCACAAATAAATCATGACAATAAAAAATACATTAAAGATTCAGAGTAGAAAATTGCACGAGATTTAATTATGATATTTGAAGGGCATCCACATCCATGATTATCAAGAATTATCATAATAATTTAAATTAAATTAAACATAGCAATTATTTTGTTTTATTAGAGTACTCTTACATGTATCATAATATAATGTTGTATAACTCTATGCATATTTATTGTAATGACTTCATGATTCTTAAGGCCCCCAACAAAAGAAAACTACAGAGACTAAGCAGCCATAGCCATAAAACTATTAAGAGCCATTAAATATAGGAGTCGCCAACAAAAGGCTAAAAAGCAATTGGACAAACGAATGTTTAAGACTACTACATTGAAGCGTTTGAATTCCATATAAAATTGATTTATATGAATCAGTACTCCAGAAAGTCCTTACACGTGCTTTCTAATGAGGAAATTGGTTAGGGAAAGCCCGCAAACATAGTTATCTATAGAAGCAGAGAATGTGGATCAGAATGCATATTCAATCTATAGCCCAAAATGAGGGTGGGGCGAGTGAAAAAATAATCATTAATCTCATCTTCTATAGAGAAAACTATAATTTGTTTAAAAATATTACAGTAACAGTAGAGAAATAAGAGAATGTATAAAGATTTTTACCTTTAATACACAAGCTCTCATTTTGGGCGAGTAAAAAGTGATCATTCATCTCATCTTCTATATAGAAAACTATAACTTGTTCATAAATATTACAGTAACAGTAGGGAAATGAGAGAATGTTTGAAGGTATTTACCTTTTATAAACAAGCTACGACTCTTCCTTGATAAAGAAGCTTTGTGGCAAAGAAAAATCTTCCTCGTGATTAATGTTCTCCACTTCTTCATCATCTGGTTTCTGTCAAAAATATATGAAATCGATAAGAGTCACACACACAAACACACAATCTCAATAACAGTGTAACAGCAAATAGCAGTACAACAATAAATATAAATAGACCTTAAAATCTTTGAAGAGAATAAAACCATTATGAAAGCCAGGAAAACTATCAACCGACTGACGAAAGTTTTTACTAGCACCATGATATGTGATTGAACACGCGGTCCAATGGTCAGGCGCCTTGTCTCCCATCCAAAGGCGCATGGTCAAATCACACTAACTCCATCGTAGTGCCCTTAAGTCTCAAAATCCAAAAAAAGTATCAATAAAACCATGATATGGGTAATACTAAATATATAAGTGGGAAACTGTTGCTGATGTGAATTTTATAGGCGTGAGTGCAATTATATCAATGTGTTGAAAGACAACATTCTCATAAATTACACAATTTATTTGATGAGTTCTGTGAAGATGTGACTTTCATAGATTCAACATCCTCAGGGTATATTAATGGTATTTGAGGGTCACTTAGTGATTAGATAGTCCAAGTCTTAAATGCTCAGTAGGAAATTTAAAAAATCTTAGGGTGTCTTCTAGCTCAATATCTACTTCCATTTGGGGCATATATAGTATCAATGAAGGAAAAATCTCCTTTAGTTGTGATCTTTTCTTCTTCTCCGCAAACGTCTAGTTCCAGGAGTCTTCGGCAAACTCAAATTGTTGGGGTAATAGCAGTTGGTGCCTCCGTTAAGAGGTTCGCCTTTGGGTGTCACCTTGTTTTCACTCATTCCATTGTTTAATTTTTTTTCCTCACATCCACAACTCCACCGCCCCATCTCTCCATATTGTCTTCAAACTACCCACGGGCATCTTCTTCCATCAAGATCTATCTTCCAAGCCAGTCGTTAAGGATTTTTAAAGAGCATCTACACTGGGCATATTCATATGCACCCTCAATTCAGCATCTTCCAAATAATGCCATTAACCTTATACCCAAAATGCCTCAAAGTTGTTTGATGAATTTCCCCTTATGCATACCAACCAATAAAAATGAATACAACAACGGAGGACTAAAACTCCACCAACCAAATTTAACAAAAGGTTAAAGAGTTTTGAAAGATTTTAAGCGACATCAATTAATGACTAACTAGGCTCAAAGTAATATTTTATCCAAACTCGACTTTGACACCCATTTGATCAAAGATACGCCTCCACAACTCAACCACATTATACACACACACTAGTATACTGATTGATTCGTCAATGAATAACAGGAGCCATGCAATGACTTTAAATTCTTATTAAATGGCTAGCATATGCTCAAGCTCCTTGTGTGATTCATGCTACCCTGCTCCAACAGATCCAAACATATTGCTACATTTGTAGGACTCAAAGAACCAACGTATGAATGGCTGTAACTTCCTTTGCCACCAAAGGATCACAGTCAAGGAGTGGCACTTGATGGTCCCCCTACATCCTATAAATTCTTTAACTTGAAGGTCCCCCCACATCCTATAAATTCGCCAACATCAATTAATGACTAACTAGACTCAAAGTAATATTTGATCTAAACTCGAATTTGACACCCAATTGATCAAAGATACGCCCGCACAACTTAACCACATTATACACACACCCGAGCACACGGATTAATTCATCAATGAATAGCAGGAGCCAAGCAATGTCTTCAAATTCTTATCAAATGGCTAGCATTGTGCAAGCTCCTTGTGTGATTCGAAAAGACCTGGACACATATTAGTAAAATTCTGAAAGAGCATTGTGCAAGCTCCTTGTGTGATTCGAAAAGACATGGACACATATTATCCTGTTCAAACAGTCCCAATCACATTGCTACAATTGTAGGACACAAAGAACCAATATATGAATGGTTGTCACTTCCCTTGCCACCAAAGAATCATAGTCTAGGAGTGTCCCTTGATGGGCCCCCATATCTTATATAAATTCGCCAACGTTTTCTCCTACCCTCCATAACTTGAAGACTTTGTACAAAGTTCATAAGCGGATTTATCATGTTTTATTGTTTGATTTAATCTTGAGAGTAAGGTTAGTTTGGAATCAGTGGGTGAGTGGGCGACATCAGGCATAATATGCTAGGTATCTTGATAGTATTTGTTAGTTAATCTAATTCATCAATAGGCTACCGACTATACATATAAAGTGCTAATAGGAACTTAGACAAGTCCTATGGTGTCGTGTAGCTCTATTTATATATTCTCTTGAGAGAATGTATTATCAAGGAAATAAATATTATCCTTTGTTGTGATGCTCACTTCATCTTCCTCAATTCACCATTTTCAAGGGTCTCTGACAAACTCAAATCGCCATTTATCATACAATCCTTCTGATGACATAACATTGTCTTTTGATAGATTTCAGAAACTACACTAAGGTAATATATTGAACTCGGCGCCTTTTAGATATGCCATCTACATTCTATCTAAATTGATCTAAAGCACAGCGTGTCATAGAAGTTTCCAATGTTTAATGACCAAAGCTTTGATGATTGCTTCGTACTTCTTGATACTATGGAAAGCTGCTCTAGTGTCCACATCATCAATGTCTACTAAAAGACTCAACAAAAGCATGCAAAGAACCATGAAATCTCAGCGACCCTTAATACTGAAAACCATTGTTTTAAAGACTTCACTGATATAATAGCACAATGGAAAAATAATTTACCAATTAGTATATCACATAAGTTACCAATTAAACTAATTATGTGTACAGGTAACTCTCTTCGATTTTAGTAAAAGAACAATTAGCGTATCAAGTCCATTTTAACTCTCATTTTTCAGATAATTTTTTTATTGGATTCATAACAATATTAAACCCTTTAATGAATCATCTATAAAAATTACCAAAACCAACAAAACTATGAATGAGTGTTGTTCATCAAAAATGTGCCAACACAAATCGCGAAGACATCTCATGGGTAACTAAAGAGGTGACGTGGCCTCATGGGGCCTACAAAGGGCGATTCGGGATTGCATGATCGACCGACCAGTTTCCTCCTTGCATCGTGGAAATGGTGCGTTTCAGACAAATAAGGGAGGAATCACTACTTAAGAATTCAGCTGATTAAATCTGTTCAGTCAAGCCCGTCCCCCTCCAACTCGGGTAGATCGGGAATAAGAAACGGGCCCTTCAACTTCAGGGAAGATGGCGGGGACTCTCCGCAAGTAGTTGCCCGGCCTAGTTATCTCCCGACCATGCAACCATCCGGCTTAGCAACCACTAGACCTAATGAAAGCCAGACGACCGTATCTGTCGACCCCATGGAGATCTTCATGTATGGAATAAAATACCTCTCCCATACTTATGTATTATAGAGGTAGATTGCATAAATGTATAAAGACACATTCCTATAAATAGTGGGGTCATTTCATAATAAATGTTACACAAATTTATTGTTCTTTACTGTGTTATTGTTCTCTCTCTCTCATCCTCCACTGCTCTATTCCTTAGGCAAGTCTCCTGAACAGATTATGAGTCAACATCCTAAACGATGCGGTGAGTGTGGAACTATACCGTCAATAAGAAAAGGAGCACAACGATCACAGAGGGAGGGGAGTAACTAAAGGGCGGTGGCCAACATCGACCCCCAACGAGATGACATGGAGGAACGTATGCAAAGAGGAATGCAGGAGATAATGACTCAAATTATGGATCAAGTGGCAGGCGAAACCGCCAAGGTCTTAAGGGTCGTCGCAGCCCTAGCAGGAAAACATGCCCCACAAGCGCAAAACTGGCCGCAGGAGGTCACACTGGTGTACAACGGTGGGAGGGTGAATCACGATCCTAAGTGGGACGCAACTAGTAGTACCAAGATAGCACCAGATCCGCACAAATAGAGAGGCCACGCATCGGGCGCATTGAAGCCCCGCGCAAGCTAGAGAACGCTTTCTCCCTCCAAATCTCCAGAGCAGAGTCCCTGAAAAAGTTCAAATTGCCAGCCCTGGAAGCTTATAGAGGATGATCAGACCCCAAAGACAACCTCGTCGTGTTTGAATCTATCGTGTGCTTGCTCAAGATATCAGGCGCGTTAAAGTGTCATCTGTTTTTCACCACTTTAAGGTCGTCACCCTTAAAGTGATTCCATGCACTCCTGGCCGAGAGCATCAGCAGCTTCAAAAAATTCAAGAGGTTATTTTTGGTGCAGTTTGCCAGCACCCCAAAGCCCACGAAGAGCATTAAGTCCCTGTGACAGTTAAGGCAAGGTTGAGCACGAGTGTCTGCGGGGGTTCATCGCACGTTTTCAGAGGAAAATGTAGGAGGTGAAAGACCTCAAAGTCGACGTCTCCATAGCCGCCTTGAAGCAAGTCCAAAGGTCCAAAAAATTTTCCTATGACCTTGGTATCAACGAACCCCAATATTTAGCCGAGCTACTAGAAAGAGCCAACAACATATGCTAGAAGAGGAGAGTACTCCCAAACAAGAACCAGAACGACGCCACACCCAAAAAAAGCCTCCCCAAGGCGGCGAATCGAAACTAAGAGAAGAACGCAAGCCGCCCATATGACACCGTTTTGATGACATCCAGTCCTCTCGCAATGGTGGAAAGACCGAACGATACGGCCGGCAGGACGGCCAAACAAGGAACCGAGACCGCAATCAGCCTAGTACTATGAGAGATCGACGCTGTGATATGAACAGTCATACAAAAATTATGATGGCTTGCAAGCTACCCCTCTGAGGGTATCGACGGTAGAAATCGTAGACGCCATCCAAGACAAAAAGTATTTCAGGGAGCCTGCAGTAATGAGAACTGGAGGTTTTCTCCGAGACAAAGAAATACTGCAAATATCACCGGGATCACAACCACGACCATGACACAAAGGAATGTAGGCACCTCCGAAGTCTCATAGAGGAGTTGATCAAGGCGGGGGAACTAAAAAGTTTGTGTCCCAAGGACACTAGGGTTAGAGACGAGGGAAAGCACCGGCACTAGAAGCCCTCCCCGTGCCCGTCTTAATGAATTTCGTCCATATCGTTGGGGT